GGGGGGGGGGGGGGGGTTGAGGATTATTATTTTTTTTTTTTTTCGCAGCAGAAGTTGTTTGTTTATGTTATTCCACACGGATATGTCCTCTTCAAACCCAGGTAAAGTGCGATAAAAGTCACCGAGAGAGTGTAGTTCGCAGCTGTCGGTCGGTTTCTGGACGTTTTATTCAGCTAAAAGTTAAAGCGGACACATTTCTAAAGATAGCGTGACAGGATCGGCTAGGTTAGCTCAGTGGAGAAGCTAATGCCAAAGCAATGCTATCTGGTTGTTGCATAAGTGATAGCTGCTCGTAGCGGCTAGATTAGAGACTTTAACTTGCTGTTGCTAAATTAGAGTAAGGTGAGAAACCCAAATCTAAATTAGGTTGACTACCAAGCTGCGGTTTGTTCGCTCGGTGCATATGTTTCTGTTTTAGTGAGCTAGTGTTGCCCATTAGGTTCATATCTGTTTGCTAAATGAAGCTTTGACGATAGCTTGGTGTTGTGGTTGTCTCTACAGTCTACAAATAAGGATTAACAGAGTTGACGTGGAGCTTAATTTAATGTGAAATACATAAGGTTGTGATATAAAAAGCAATGTCAGTCGTGTGTGTGTGTGTGTGTGTGTGTGTGTGTGTGTTAATGCTAATATGGCCTCTAAGTGTAGGTTTAGTTTCTTTTTCAGTCACAATAGGAAATCACCTGTCATCTCTGCTGCATTTCGTCTCTCTGTGCCTCTGTGTTATTAATAGAGTTACCAGACCCAAATCTGGGTATGGGGGCAAGTGGGACCCAAGCAAGTGGTGGAGCTGTTGTACCAAAAGGGACCAGCAAAAGAAGAGCTGCGTAAGTGTGTGTTAGTGGTGCAATATGTGCTGAAATGTCAGTATTGTCATTTGTGTATTCGCTGACTGGTTTACTTTTGTTTTTGACAGTTGTGGTTAAAATCCTTCCTGAGAATATTTGTGTGAAGCCATTCATGTGCTCTCTTCTCCTTCTTACAGGCAAGACTTTGATGATGATGATGAAGGCAACAAGTTGTTCAGGTACATTTGTCTCCGTTTGTTTCTGTCATACAGTAAGATGAGTTGGACTGTTGGAGATAATATGGGTTATGTTTTGTGGGTTTTTTTTTTTTTATTACAGGTGTGACGATGACTTGGGAGGGTCCAACAATGACAAAGAGCGCTTTGCGAGGTAGGATGAACTAGGAGAAACAGATGTGTGTGGAGGGCATGTAGGGGAGCAATATTATCAATACAGCAATTANNTTTTTTTCCCTCTTTTTTTTTTTTATTTTGGTAGTCATTTTTGGGCCTGTGTTTTAGTGGGTTGGTTTTATTTCCAGGTTTTTGGAAGAAGATCAGAGTTTTGCAGATAAGGAAAAACTAGCCAGGTATGGCCTGTACCACTGTGGAAGGCTCCCTCTCCTGCTTGTATCCGTATCAATATTGAATGCACTGATCAAATACTATCCTGTCTTGCTGGGACCCCAGCAAATTGTCATTTTTACAGCACACAATTAATGGTATATTTGGCCGCTTTAATGCGTATGTTTTGGTGCTTGTCAGAACGTTATGCTTCTTTGCCCCAAGCAGCTGGTTGTCTCTCTCAACCCACCACTATGTTATGTGTCACTAACTGTGTGTTGTATGCTGTATGCTGTGTGTAACTCAGGGACTTTCACTTTGGTAATCCCTTCCTCTTGAGCAACTGTCCCCTGTCTTTTTTCTCTCCACACCTCTCAGGACATCTGAAGGGTCTTTCTCTTTCTGCACTGGCTCTCTTTTGTCACAACAACTGGTCTTGAAAGACCAGACTCTCTTGCTTTCTCACTATCATTTTTATAAATCATTGACTACATGTTATTGTTTTGTGCGTCTATTATTTCTCTCCCCATCTCTCATTCCCACCACTTCTTCCCAAATGGCATACTTACATTGCGACATTAACTCTAAACTCTACTCCATGTTGTCCACCTGCCCGTCTCTTTTCCCCATCTCGATCCCTCCTATCCTCTCCACCTCTGCCTCCCTCCTTTGTTCACTCGCTCCAGGGAGAATCACAGTGAGATTGAAAGGCGGAGGCGAAACAAGATGACAGCCTACATCACAGAATTGTCAGATATGGTGCCCACCTGCAGTGCACTAGCACGGAAACCAGACAAATTAACCATCCTACGAATGGCTGTGTCCCATATGAAGTCTCTGAGAGGAAGCGGCAATACCAATGCAGATGGGTCGTACAAACCTTCTTTTCTGACTGACCAGGTATGAGCAACCGAGAGAGAGAAATGTAGAAATTGAGGGCTGGTAAATACATATCCCCCATTAAATCGTCTGAATGAATTCACAGTGGGGAAATCTTTGTTGAAAGCATATTTAGAGTAGGCAACATTTCAGGTAAGGCAGTGCTACTTGTGTAGAGAAAAAATGTTTAATAAACAGGTCTCACAGTCGCAGTGTAGTTCACACTTTCTCAGCTCAGTGAAAAAAGAAGGGAGGAGGACTGAAAGCAGCACCTTTGCAAGTGTAGTTTTCTCACAAGGTAGATAAAGATAAGTTGCTATATTCGCAGACTATCTTTGCTGTTGTCGGTGTAATCTAAATTTGGCCCTTGGTGAATTTGTAAATTGTTCAAAAACACACTTTGAGAATATGCATGACTGTAAGCGAGCCTCCATTGCCTCTGGTGAAGCTTCCTTGCTGCAATTGGTGTAACTGTCACGGAGCTAACACATGTCTGTATACACCCTGCACAGTTCAACAGTGTAGACAGCAACGACAAGGACGCAAGGGGCCGAGGGATGTGGGTTCTAAATTTGGAGGAACACAAAGACTGTATATTCATGCTCCACGAGAGATGTATTGTTCTCACTGATTAGCATGTCTTTAATGCCATCTGCCTATAGGAACTGAAGCACCTCATACTGGAGGCAGCTGACGGCTTCCTCTTCGTGGTGTCATGTGAGACTGGCCGCATTGTTTACGTTTCTGACTCCCTGACACCCGTCCTCAACCAGTCGCAGTCTGAATGGCTCGGCTCCTCCCTTTATGATCAGCTCCACCCAGACGACACAGAAAAGCTCAGGGAGCAGCTCTCTACTGCTGAGAATAACAACACAGGTACAAAGCATGTACAGACACTAAATATGCAGATGGTAGTCAATTTCTTGTCAATATTAATCTCAATTAATGAATTATTCTAAATCCCCTCATTACACAATACATTACTAAGTTGAATATGTCTTGTATTTACCTTTTTAAAGGGAGGATGTTGGACTTAAAGACAGGGACAGTAAAGAAGGAAGGTCAGCAGTCGTCAGCCAGAATGAGTATGGGAGCCCGTCGATCGTTCATCTGCAGAATGAGGTGGGGTTCATACTATAGTTAATGAACCAGTTCATTTTTTTTATATTGATATGTCTGCCTAGATGCATAAATTGCCTATGTGGTGGCCTGTGTGTATTTGCAGGTGTGGCTCTTGTCCAGTGGAACCAATGTCCATGAACAGACTGAACTTCCTTAGGAATCGAAACAGGTGACTAAAACCAAACAGGGTTTCGTTTTTATTTTTTAAATTGTGTTGGGATTGCTGTGCAGAGGATAAGCAAACCTGGAGTAGGCGAGTGCTTTGAATTTCTTCATTCCTCTTTCCTTCACCTCAGGAACGGTTTGGGTGCAGCCAAGGAAGGGGAGCCTCAGTATGTAGTGGTCCACTGTACAGGATACATCAAGTCCTGGCCCCCTGCAGGTAAAACTAGTTTTGTAAAGGTTGGCATATATAGCCATCTGTTATATTTGCATTATAATTTGGCTGGGACCTGTAAATGATGCTAAATTCAATAAATAGTTTTCATCGGTTATTCTTTGTGGCCAGGTTTAACAGTTTTTGCATGTTTTGGTTTTAGGAGTATCCTTAACAGACGATGAAGCAGACAACACTCAGGGGAGTCGCTACTGTCTAGTTGCCATTGGGAGATTACAGGTATGACAGGGGCATTTGTCAAGTCTCACAGTGACAAAATCATTTTTAACTAATCATGTTTAGTTTAATATTGAGTGATATATATTTGTAAAGGAAATAAATGTAAGTAAGAGAATGGAAATGTAACCTATCCACCTTAATGTCAGAAATTTGTATCTCCAACAAACTGCAATAATACTTGAGCCTTATATCAACAATCAATGAATAAAATCGCTTTCACTGGAGGTTGAAGAGACATGTGTTCTTTTGAGAAAGCATATCTACCACAAGGCAGTGTTTTATGGTCACCATCTACAGTCTTATCTGAAGTGGATTGTGGCTGATGTTTGTACTGTTACTATGTGTTTGGAAATCCTTTTTTTACCTGTAAGCTGTCAATTGTAAAACATTGACAATGTTCACGACTTTTGAGTAAGAAGTGATGGTAGTAGTGGTGATTTTTCCACATGAAATTGAACATCTAAAATATAAATGCAGCTAACATTGGCTCTTTTTTCTCTTTTAGGTGACTTGTTGCCCGGGTGACACGGACGTCAACAGTATCAGTGTTCCAGTAGAGTTCATCTCACGCCATAACTGCCAGGGCATGTTTACCTTCATAGACCACCGCTGCATGGCCGCTGTAGGCTACCAGCCACAGGTGAGACTCACAACAGGTGGAGATGTCAGGGACTGTTTGCCCGACAACATTCCCTAACAACCTTCGTGCCACGAGATGGTGTTAATGTCTTCTGGGCTAATGGTGGTTGTATAATCTGCTGTGTGTTGCAGGAACTACTGGGGAAGAATATTCTTGAGCTTGCCCACCCTGAAGATCAGGGGTTACTGAGAGACAGCTTCCAACAGGTAGGACTGCAGTTTGTTAGGACTACTTTATATCTCAGTTGATTGAGCTCTTGTGTTTGTACCAGCACATTAATGTGTTTACAATGTGTTTGCGCTTAAAAGAGTCCTCTGCTGATTTAGCATTGCACTCTTATAACATTGTTTAAAAAGAAAAGGTCAAAATTGTTGCAGCAAAATAAGAGATATAGTCTGTTTTATCACACACATTCTTCTTCATCATCAAAACCTGGTGCCTACATTACCCATAATGCTACTCTACTCTTTTTGATTCCAAACTTGTCTTCAGCCTCAGCCCACGCTGCGTCAGGTGACATCATTTGAGAACATTTATCAGATTTAGAGAAGATCTCTCTGGAGCAACAAAGGCTTTATACAATGTTTTCCACATATACAGTTGTACTCAATACCTTTCTTAATGTGTAAAATAGGTGGAGTTCCACTTTAAGTAGCCGGGTTCTTGTTGCCTTTTCACAATAATCAGATTTCTTAAATGTCCCACTTTTTAATCAGGTTAGAGTAATTGAAAAGGCAGTTTCTGTATATGTATTTCATATTTCATATGTCATTGCACGTGTGTGATAAATATTTGATATGTATGGCTGTGACAACAGTGTGGCAGAAATAGCTTTAAAGACATTTTCTGATCTTGTGTCCACAGGTAGTAAAGCTGAAGGGCCAGGTCCTGTCAGTGATGTTTCGGTTTCGCTCCAAATCAAGAGAATGGATCTGGATGAGAACCAGCTCCTTCACCTTCCAGAACCCATTTTCAGAGGAGATTGAGTATATCATCTGTACCAATGTCAATGTCAAGTGAGTCACACACTCTAGACGGATCTACCAATACGGCTGATTATGTAACATGATTACACAATAAAACACAGCACATAATGAAACCACCGACGTCTTGAAATGTGGCTGTTGTGAAAGATCCCTCGGTCTGAATGCTTAGCTATCAGCCTCCACCCCCAGTTCCTCTTGCAACCTTACCACAACCCCTTTTAAAAAACCACACACTGATCACTCTCTCCCTACCTCCCACCTCTCCTCTGCACCCGTCTCTTGATTGTGGGGCAGTAGAAACTCAACTCAGGACCCCCTCACTCCCATCTCCTCCCCAGGGGGTTCGCTGCCCCCCTCCCTGTGCCAGAACAGCCCAAACTGCCCTCCTGTAGTGCTCAGCCCTGGGCAGGTGGCCACCAGGTGAGACCAGGCCTGGCCTGACTATCCTCCCCCTGCATGGGAGAACAGGGGCTGCTTCTTCATGGGAGACTACTGCTGTTTCTAGCAAAATACAGTCCTTCTGTTTTTGTTTTTTTTTTATTTCCCACTCCGGGTGATTCTTCTCTCCATTGTATTTGTCTCTGTTCTCCTGTAGTATTTGAGAAATAGTGCCGTTGTCTAATGAGAAGCATGTCTAATAGCTGTTTTCTTGTAGTTTTTTAGTGAAGTTGGTTGAAAGGAATCAACGTTTAACACAGGTGGTTTAGCATGTTAGTGGTATGCATTCGTATAACAGACCTTTTTCTGCTGAAGCGTGTTACTGTCTTCCTCTTCTGTCCTCGTTTCTCTTTTTATGTTGCCATGGTGACCGGTGGCGGGTTGAGTGCTATTTTGTCAGCAGGTGTTTGGGATTTCACTGAACAGTGGAGGGCATGGAAATGGTAATGAGACTATTTTAGACCGACTCCCTCATTCTCTCTCTCTCTCTCGCTTTTCCTTTTCAGGCAGTTACAGCAGCAGCAGCAGGCCGAGCTAGAGGGAGGTGGAACCAGAGACAGCCTGTATGAGGCAGGACCAATCACCCACTCACAGGTTAGTCCATGCACGTGTGGGGGACACATGAGTGTGCATGTCCAGTTTGACTGAAGCACAGATTATGCTCTGCTTCTCATGGGTCCCTTGTCCCTTTTGTCCCCTTGACTGATCAGGCCTTTTTTTTTGTGGAAACAGTGGCAGGATGTTGATTATTTGCTCAGCAGGAAAACAGAACCGAGTTGGGAGACTTCCATTATCGCAACCTGGCGGCCTGCTGTTCATGATTTAAATTAAGTGGAACACTTTCTCTGTAGCACTTGGTTACCCAAATACATTTGAAGCCTGGAAGTATTCTCAACAAAATTCAATTGGATGTCTTTGCAAGTTCATGACTAAAAGTGTCACATTTGATCTGTTTCTCTCTCTTTGCTATGCGTGTAAGCAGAACTATACAGACAGCTAGCCTTTGAACTTTTCACTGGAAGCAATTGTGAAAATGTGGAAACGGTTATGGATATAACACAAATTCAACAATTGTGATTACAAATCAAACAAGAGTCAGACCAGAGGTGTTGTAACATTGAATTTGCATAGTAACAAGAGAAGTTGGTTCACCATACTGTACTTCCCCATAGGAAGAAAATCATGTAAATTAATCAAACTGATTTACAGTGCAGTGAACCGTGTGCCACTAGTATGCTTAACATCAGATAAAACTCTTAAAGTGTATTAAACTAAATCTTGAATAATATTTTGCCGTTTAGGTTTTACAATAGTTACAATTTGTTTTGGAACAATAATTTAGGCAACAGACGTGTATACGTGTATAAAATGATAACACAATATGATCATATCATCACAATACACTTGTTTTGGCAATTATTATTGAAGATGATATTGAATTATAGTCAGTTCTTGCTGGTATTCAAACGTATTTGTGAATGATTGTGGTTAATTTATCATACATTACAATACAATTTCATGCACACACAGAAATCACAAAATGTTGTAAATCCATCTGTCAAAATGTGTGTGAACCCTAAACACAGTAATTAATCTACTAAATGTATACATAAAGTCTACAAGAGTAGAATTAGTTAATTACTTGACAATTAGCCCAACAGTACACAACTAGCATAATGGCTACTTTGATTTGATTTCAGTAAAACAACAAATATCTTAAATTACAAACATTCACAAAGTATTTAATTGACTTGATAAGGGCTGCAGCTTATTATTAACAATGTCATTGTCAGTTCATCTGCCGTATTCATTTTAATTTTTTCGTTAATAGTGTAATTGTTCAAACTCTAGACTTGAATTAACTATCACTGTGGTGTGTGTAGGGCCTCAGCTGAACACACTGTCAGGTTCACCTCCCTCTCAATACACTTACAGGAGGTCAATATTGTCATGATTGATAGCTTTTCATACTTTTGTCCACATTTTTTGTTTGCTTCTTGTGTAGAATTTGGCAGTCCTACCATGATTGCAGTCTCCATCTGTTGTCAATGTCATTCAATAAACTGACATTGTATTGCAGAAACTATAAAGGCATTTGATTGTGGTGCCATATTTGACAGCAGTTTGACAGCCTCAGTAAAAATTCAGGTGTACTGCTGCGTTAAGGAATTGTGCATTTCAAGCTATTTGACTTTTAGTTTGAGATAATGAATGGCCGTGATTGACTCTTCACCACTAAAAGGGTTTTGGAGTGGGATCCTTGACTTATACTTTTGGTGGTCCTCAGATGCCTGTGCAGCCAGTGACAGCAGCAGGGCCAGACCACAGCAAGAGCCTTGAGAAGCCAGAGCTCTACCCTTCCCTTTTCCAAGGCCCAGATCAGACCAAGGTCCTGCCCTCCCCGCCCGCTCCCTCCACGCAGATCTATCCCCAAGCCAACAACTTCACTGCTGGTCGTCCCAATGATGCATACAGGTAGGAGGCAATACTTGATCTAACCAGTTTCCTGGAGCTCTTCCAGACACTTAATGTCAGAGACTTATACAAACAACATGGCACAGAAACAAGGAGCGTGCCTATAGGTATTATCCTGTTATCTTGATATCTGACTTAATTAGGTTATATTGTTAACTCGGCATAACACGTCATTTTTTTCCAACCACAATCAGTAATGTTGAGACCCGAAGGTAATGGGGTTGTTATCTACTGTAGATTATATACGAATAGCAACAGGGGCATTTGTGACACATTTATGTAACCTACTAGCTGGTTTGCATGTCTGGATGTTTTGGCTATCAAAGCAGAGCTCGCAGGGTCATTTATTTATTTTTTGTACGATATTGGATTACGACAACAGCCGAAGGGAAAACTCTCAGTTCTCTCAGTTGTGAATCTGCCACGTACTGTAGTCCACATGAAGGTTAGAGGAGAACAAAAGCTTCCCACTTGTGCTTTAAGTGGGTGCAGATGCTGCCTGACAAAGATTATGGTCCAGTCAGAATGCTGAAAGCAGTTAGTGTATGTTTCAAATAGCTATACTCACTGTTCCGCTGACTTTGAATACAGATTCTTTATTTGCTTTTTAATTATGTTCTCCTAGTAGATGACAGCCCAGGTAATGGCTCTCTTTCTCTCTTCTCTCTCCCTTCACGTTTGTCAGCAGGCCAGTGGGTATGACTCCACAGATAACTCCTCAGATGGCACAGCCAGGCCACTCCGCAGGGCAGATGCTGGCTCAGATGTCTCGTCAGAATGGAGTCCCGCACTCAGTTACGCCCTCTAGCACTGGAAACCCCCTCCACGGAGGACCAGCAGCAGGAGGAGGGTGGCCTGGAGCTGGAGTTAGACCACAATTTAATAACCAGGTAAGCCAGTACAACAAGATTCATTGCCTGATTTAGTTTTGCCTTTGGCGATATTACTTAATCAATCTTCATTTACAAATTACTATCAGTCAATAACATCGGCCCCACCTATATACTAGTCAGTAAATTGAGTTAGCCTTCCTCTATCCAGCAGGCAGCTCCTCAGGCAGCAAAGACTATGTCTCCCTCGTTTGCACCCATGGGAGGATTTGGAGGTGGCCCTTCCAACTCTTTTGGCCAGATGCCTACAGGTGCCGCTCCCACCCCAACCAGCGCTGCAAACTACTCGCCGATTAATGTGCGGGCCAACCTCACCACCAATGGTTATGGTAAGTTGTGTGCATACATGTGTGGATCGGAGTCTCTCTGTTATACTGCTGCATTCTCTTACCCCTCTGTGCTTTATCCCAGATGGCTCTCAGTCTGGGCCACAGTTCCCCTCTAGGGCAGTGGAGGCAGTGTGGCCCCAGTGGCAAGGCCAGCAGCACTCGCAGAGTAATGCAGAGCAGCATCCTCATGCTCAGGGCAACCAGCAAGACATGTTTCCTGTGAGTGATACAAGCCTTATCTCTCTCAAGCACTTTTTTTCTGCCTTTCTCTGTCACTTAAAATAAATCTTGTTGTCTCTTTAATCTGATGCAGGATGTGTTGTCTATGCTGGACCAGCCTGCCAACTTCAACAGCGATGACTTTGAGATTCCCATCTACCCTCCATTTAATGAGTGACCTGGTCAATACTTCTCTGCTGGTCTAATCCTTTGTCTTCTTGACTGTTTGTGCCCTCAGTCTTTTGTATATTCAGCTCTTCTGCTCCTCTTCTCTTCCTGCTCCTGAGAGTAGCACTCTTCCCTTGCTTTGCATGGCTTAAATTGCACTGCCACAAGCCAGTTAAAGATGGAGGGATATATCGGACAGTGGATATATAGGGGAGGAAAATCAAGGAATTGCTACTGACTAAAAGATGATTATTTTAACAATATTCCAGCCATTGTAAGAGAATTCACTAGCTAGCACTGCCCAAAGCTCAACAACCTATGTTGTAGATATGTGATATATATCTATATATATCTATATATCTCTATATAAATATATATATAAAAACGCACAATCACACAACCACACTTGAATAGACTGCACAAAAACACTCTGTTACACTCTGGTAAACGTATACAGGAAGTAAACACACACATACAAAGGCCTTTTATTGTAATATGTTCCTAGTTTTTCTCAGGCATTGATGAAGAGTGTATTTTGCCGTTTTACTCTTTTAGCATGTAGACTAATAACTCAAATAATTGATTAAAACTCTCAGGAAATTGCAGGGATATACAGCTTTGGTGATTTTTAAATTTTCCGCTGCTGCACGCAAACCACCAGTCTGTGTTAACATCACTCACAGTTTTAAATCCACAGCATGTCTCTGCATGTCAGCACTGCTTTCATGGAGCTCTTCTACAGTACTGAGGAAGGTTTTCTATGTACATTGGTGGCCTCACCTATAAAATTATTAAGTTTTTCCTCTACATGTGAGTTTTTTTTCTTTTTTTTTTTTTCTTAATTGAATTATGTACTTCAACAACAGACACAGTGTTACAATGGCTACATGCTGTTTGTCTAGGTGCCAGTTGGAAATGTATGCAGTCTATTTTTCTTTGCTTACATATACATATATACAGTATGCATGTGTGTATGTATGTAAAATGGATACGTATGGTATCATTATCAACTTTAACAGTCGTAGGGTTTCTGACTTGCTTGACATTCTTCTTTCTGTCGCCCTGCGTTATGCTGTACCAGAATGGGCTTTTTGTACTCCTTTTTGTAAAAGAAATACAAAAAAGAAATCACACAGCAATAATTAACAAGCAGGAATTGTGTACTTTTAAAGCCATTTGTTATTGCTGTCATAAATGTTGTTCTTGATTATTGTTATTTTAAAATGGAGAGACGTATGTTTGATTTTAATTAAAATGTATTCCCTGTATTTTATTGTTATTTCAAAACTCTTGCTGATCTCTTGACCTCTCCATTGCCCTTTTCTGATTGGTATTTTATTAATGGTTTAATCAGGGTATTCAGGATTAAAATGGAATAAACTGAGCTAAAAACAACATAAGTGACAACGCCCCCCCCCCCCCAAATTTTTGTTTTTGTTTTTGTCTGTGTGTTTTGTCCTCTTTGTTTGTAACAAACAATTGGACTTGGACTGAATCTTTGCCAACCAGATCCTATCACCTGTGTTTTACAATCATTTTTTGGTAAGTTTGTATTATAGAAGAATGTTGTGGGATGAATGAAAATGCTTCTAAAATATTAAAATTTTTAATATGTAGAATTAGTTTAAATTTGACCCTTTTTATCACGGTCCTCCATTGCCTGTGTGCAACACTTGCACACTCAGGATGACAAATTCTGTAATTGTATGTAAATCGATGCTGATAATTGTCCCGTTTTCATCTTCCAGAGGGTGGTATATTGGTGACTGTGTTGTCTTTGTTATTGTTGATAACCTCTTTGTTTGCTCTGTATCCAGGTTATTTTTTTTCAATGATGTGACTCATAGAAACAAATATATAAATATACTGTATATGTCTATGAAATGTTAAGCGAGAGAAAGAAATGTTTGGTTTTTGTATTAAATTGTTATATTGTCGAACATGAAGCGGTTGGACTGTGTTTTGAGCTGCTCACACTTCAGGTCATAACGGGCTTTCCTCCACAAACACTATCATTTAATCCTTAATCAAAAAGTCAGGTATATTTCCACTCTTGTTCTTGGTATCAGTTTTTATTGTAGCACTGCACTCTACTGATCACGCTCATGCAAGAGTCATGGCTGTCTTTAATTACATCCATGCATGTATTGACTTCCTTTTCTTAACTGGTGAAGAAACAAAAGCCAACTTTGGTTTGATTGGCCTGTATCTGTTTTCCTTCCCCATTCTGTTTATCTGTGCAGGCGCAGAGATCTGTGGGTACGTCCTGGGATCAGTTTCTGCCTTCATCTGTCCCTCCTCTCTATTCAGTCCGGGGGTGAAAACTGATGGAATTAATGCTTGTACTGGTCTAAGATAGCTTTACAGCTTTGCCCTGTTTGGGTTGCACATGAGTGACATCTTGTGCTGTAAATCTTGTTTTAGCAGTATCTTTTTAACACACACACACACACTCCTCCCTGTGTTTCTACTCAGATCTTTTATTAGCATAGAGTCACTTTACTCTTAACGTGCGTGGATCTCTGTAGTGGCATCAGAGTACAAGCAATCTGCATTTTTTTGGGCAGGATCAGTTTCCAACCCCTCTCAAGTGGATTGCCACCAAGGCGTCATATCCTCTTTCTCTTCTTCAACCTTTTCTTTTTCCTTTCTGCATCTTCCCCATTCTATACTCTGGTTTTCCTCCACTTTTAGACTTAAAATAACCCTGTGCATGTCTGCGGGGGGATTTGTGTAGAGGGAACTGATTGGTTCAGTATAGGCAGAGCATCTTAGTCTGAACACATTTGCTTTATGAAGCTTTTGAAACACATTTTTCTGTTATCCTGTCATGTGTCCATGCCTCGTACTGACCGGGGATCCAGTGACTCTTGTTAAGGTGTCATCTCCTGTAAAAGTCTCTTCTCCTGAGGTGACCAGAGAAATGCCTGGGTGTTCTAATCTCAGGAACGGCCTGATCGTTACCAAACTCCTTTATTAACTATTCATGGAGGACACAGGTGCCAAATGGGGCTCTGTGTGTCCACCAATCCATCTTATCTTTGGGAGGAGGACAGTAGGTGTCAATGTTGGGAGTAAAAAGAAAGACACCATGACGTACGAGAACGGATTGTTGAAGTTGGTTTCTCAGATAGAAACGACGGGTTGCTTTTAGCATCAACAGAGGAACTGGTCGACTCAATTCAGATAAAAAAAATACTGGATTTTGGAATAATTCAAACATATGTGGAACTGCTACTCCTGTAAACTATCAAGAAGGAAAGTAAACAAAGACTGAGGAATAGATAGGCTTTTCTTGTTTGGATTTATCAACATGGACCCTCCAGCCCTCCCTGTTGCTGGGTTTGAAGTGGATGTGGACCTTGGCTTCGCCCTCTTCTTCTTCTCCCTGCTCTGCTTGTTCTTGTTGGGGGCTATAGTCCGCTGTGCCCAGATGGTGCTGGACCCTTACAGTGCTATCTCGGTCACTACACACCAGGAAGAGGAAACGGAGGAGTGACGGACCTACACATCATATAGTAATAGACAGCTCATCCTCAAATGGGATAGCAAAGCAAAAATAAACCGCCACCAGCCAAGGAATATTTTTAGGCTTCTCTTATGACCGAGTCGGACTGGTGAAGTTGTGTCTAAACAATATTTAAACTTTTATATAGTTTCTACCAATCTACGGTATATAAGCATTTTGTAGCATCCAACAACTTCAAATCATGTAAGTATGCAATGGAGATCACAGAATATACTTAAATACACAGTGCTGTCTATACTTATATAAAACAAGCTATGCATGAATAGCATGTAGTTGTTTGAAACTCATAAAAATGTTGATATATTCATTTAAAATTGACATGACCAACTATGACAACAACTAGACATTATTTACTTTTTTCATTCACATCCCAGAATGCAAAGTGGTCAAACATCAAAAAGGATACGTGAAATTTGGCCATTTGGGCCTCGTGCTACGACATCCAATGTGTTCATGATTTATTTATGTTTTTTATTTTAAAATTTAAAATACTAATGTTTCAATGCACTAATACAAACAGCAACATACTTGAACCACGGAGAACAGAAAGGCTGAGGCGGACTGCTGAGTTTATCACCTGTAATCTGTTCATAATACCAGAATGTACGCTGTGAAAAGCTGCTCGATAAAGAGGCAAATTCCCTCTTTTCCACAGTAACACAGCACAGATGTTTCCAAGTTCTCAGTGATGAGGATCTCTAATGTAAAACAGATGTTCTGCTCTTTCTCCCAAATTCTGTCACACAATGTTTTGGAACTTTTGCATAAACTTTCATGCAAGTGGCTTGTTATTGAACAAATTAAATAAACCTTTAACTTTAAGCATGTGTTGGTAATTCATCAGCTGTATGTCTTTTAACGGCAGGCAGCACCATCCAGAATCCAGAGAAGAACCAGGAGAGTTTACTTTTTTAAGGCAGTAGTTCTAAGTGTGAACTAAAATAAGTGATTACTACTAATTAATAGCAATTAACTACTGGAAAGAAATAATGTAAAATGAGAGTCGTAGAACTGCCTGAAATACATTTTTCTTTTTCAGTCAGACTGAATTTTCTGTTTTTTATTTTTCTATCATCTATTAAAAACAATTACGTTTTTAGTGTTTAAAAAAGTTGTTAAAAACCATTGTTTCTTTAAGTTGAATATTTTGAATGAATTAATCCTTGATATTTTAGTATTCAGATCATTCAAAAACTCCATAATCAGAAATCAAAGTTGTTAGTTAATTAACTAATTTCTATGTGTGACTTCAGGGTGTTTTAATAGCTTGTGGAAGATATAGTTTACTCTCAAAGTAGTAAATCCAACACCAGGAAGAGTGTGATGATTTATGTCCATCATAATAAAGTAAGTGTGTTTAAAAAGGGCAAATTGTTTAATTACCCCCACAGCGGATGTTAATTAAGTCCCTAATAATATTGTAGTTAAAGCCTAACTGAGTTAATATGTGCTAAACCAGGAATAACAATAATTAGTGTGCACAGCATCCTGTTTTAAACGCCCGCATAACCCGGGTGGGCGGAGCTCTCGTCTTTCACAGAACACAACGGCGCCTGACAACACCGCCCACTTCGGGTGCCCCGCGAAACAAAGCATGCACTCCTTGTTGTAGCTAGCCGCTAGCATTAGCTAGCTACCCTTATATTTACGAGCAGACAGGATGGAGAGCAGCGAAGGGTGAGTGAGCGTTGAGTACTGTCCACAAACCAAGTCACCGCCCGGTGTGTGTTTGAGGAGCAGCCCCGGAGGACACAGGGTTGTTCGTTTTCCACACCTGCATCAGTCAGTCAGCGGAGGAGACATTCCCCCATGCTAATGCTAAGCTAAGGAGCGAGCCTGCTTCAGTTGGTCTCCTTCCAGCTCCCCCATGTTTGTCCTCAGTGTGTCTCATTAAAGTGTGAATGGAGTAGAAGTCGGTTGAGTTAGCGGTCAGTTTAAAAGAGGGAGTTACAAAGACATCGTTCATTTAGCGGGTGTCTGTGACTGTGTGTTGTTGTGCTAACCTGTAGCAAACTACTCTCCCATTCAGGGTCTGGAAGCTTCTGGAAGACTACATTTAAACTGGCTAATTGTTATTATTTAATGCATCTAAAGTGCTACATCAGTACCAGCGTGCAGTTGTTTATTATGGTGGGGACAGCAGTTACCATCAGCCCCATGCGTCTCTTGTGTGTTTGTGTGACTCTGAACAAAAGGCAGCATATTAAAGTCTGGCTGCGATGGAAGAAGTTTGTATATGTGTGCATGTGTCACCCTGTCCAGTGTGCAAGCTTTAAACCTGCACAACAAACAAGTCTGCAGTGCACACACACACACACACACACACGATCCCTGTAGACATCTACCTGCACACTGAAACAGACTCACATGATCAGGGATACAATAATCTTTATTTTTGGTATATATCAGTATGCATTCATCATGAGTCTTTGCAGAGATGTCAGCAGTGGTTGAGGTCCTCATAATGGTGTTAATACAGCTGTATTCCATTGATATATGTCACAGTATGGTTGAATCACATAGAAAATATAAAACATGTTCAGAACAAGCACTTGTATTTCAGTGTTGCATGTTTCCAGTCAGAACTAATACCAGATTTTGTTATCTGGCCAACACACTCAATTCTTACATATTTAATTTACAGCAACACTCACCAATGTTTGATCAAATAATTGATTCATTGGCTAATTGTTTTAAGGATATTTTGGAAATACCATAAAGTGATCAAATACATTAATGTTTTCCCTTTTATTCTGTTGCTAATTGACGACAACATAATCTGAATATTGGCAGTAAAAGCAATGCTGGAACACATAATTAGTTTTTGAGACCCAGAATATTCACACGTAGATATGTGGAAATGATGTTTACACGTCCTGTTGTTGTTTTTCTCTCCTCAGCATGGAGGTGGACGGCTGGGACCCCAGTCTGGAGGAAGAGTTGGGCATTTCTCTGGACGAGCTGAAGAAGTGGATTGAAGAAGCCGTGGAGAAGAGTGAGATCGTACAGAAGAAGAAGGCTCAGCTGACGGAGCTCAAGGAATGGGTGGAGCAGAAAGAAGAAGAGGAGGCGAGGACGGAGATGCTCCTCAGCGATGCCAACCAGTAAGCAGACATTAACCTTCTCCCAGAGTCTGTTTATTGTATTTATTTAGACTTGTTTTTAGTCAATGTACAGTTTTTTATTTAGGTAGCGTGAGGCTTTATTCAAAAGGAGACTGTTAGGTGAAGATAAACCTGGAAACACTATTATACTATTATTAAATACTGTTAAACACCTACCTGGTGAATTAAGTCAACACACTTTGAGTGTACTTTAAGAGTAAGTAAATGTAGACACTCGTTTTCCAGTCATGCAAACACCTGGAACTTGATTTAAATAACCAAATATCCTGCAAATAATTGTTGTTGTTCTCCCGGAAGATAAAATAATATTTGAGCTGTTTTTGGCCAAATTAATGTCATAGTTAGAGAAAAACTCTAGTCGGTTTAGTTGCGCTACGAAACATTGAACACCTACTGTACCTGTAACGAACCTGAGTCACTTCATCATGAAC